CCCCTCCGCCCCCGCCGCGGCCGGCCGGCCCCACACTGCCCACCGCCACGGCGCAGCGCCGAAGGCGCAGGAGCCCCCTGGGGTGGCCCACCCGGACCTGCCCAGGCCGTGCCCCTGGATGTGCTTTTGGGTCACTCATGCCACAGCCTCTGAAGACTCTGGAGTTGAAGGGTGGAGGGGACTCGCCGGCCAGAGAGGGGAGCTGAGACCCTGGTGGAGCGAACAAGGGACTGGGGATATGGAGAGCCAGGGCGGGCCTTTCCATGAGGAGCCACGTCTAAGGTTAGCATTCTGGAGGATGAACAGGACCAGCGGCTTCTAGGAATCAGAGTTGCTGGTCAGGAACCAGAGCAGCAGGAGGCAGGGTTGGGCCAGCTGAAGATTCCAAATTATTATCCTTGTGCCCTGAGCGCGGGCCAGGGAACAGTGCGGGGACCTGGGGACTGCAGGGTGACTGGCCCTCTCCCATGGGCTCTGAGTCTTCCCCTCTGAAGTTCTGACCAGCCATGCAGTTGGTAGAGACCAGTGTCTGGAGCCCGACTCCCACAGGGCCTCTTGAGGTCTACCTGCTCCTCCCTCTGAAACCCACTTCCTGTTAGTATTACCTAGTGGGACACAGGCTTGTCACCCTTAGACTGCTCTAGTTCTATGGGAGGGAAACGACCCTGTCTTCCTCTGTGACCTCTGGAGACCCCTTCCGGACACAGTGAGTGGAGCTGGCATCCTGACAGACGCAATGATACAAATCCACAGCACTGTCCTTTAGGGGCACCAGGATAGCCTTCCTGGACGGCCAGCCCTCTGTGCCTGCAGGAAGGTGGGTGCCTAGGACCAGACCCAAACTAGCTGCAGTCCATATAGCTGTCTGGCATTCTGCAAGCTGTGGTTCCAGGGTGGGCATTAGGGTCAAGCCTATGAGGCAGAAGTCAGAGTGCAATAGCATGCTGGGCCAGGAATGGATCAAGGTGTACTCTCCCATACCCCCCAGGATTTCTGGGGGTGCTCAGGGTCCTCTGAGAGCCCTCTGTGGGCAGGCCAGCTCCCATCCTGGCAGCCTGGTTATGGACTGCCAGTAGGGGGTGGCTGTAATCAAGTGTGGCATTTTATCCTCTCTCATGAAGAACATGGCAGTGATCTCAGGGCCCAGGCCCTGCTTGGGGATGGTGTGGTTGGCTTTGCCTCCACAGACCTTGGTAGTTGGCATGGGTGTGTGCTTTCTGCTGGCCCATAAGAGTAGCCTCATCGCTGCACCCAGGGCACCCCTGTGGCATACGTTGAGGTAAAACTGGGACCCTGATGTTGTCTTGGGGGCTGAGGGCTAGGTGGGGTTGATGTGGCTTCATGTGGTAGAGCTGGTTCCCTCCCCTGTTCCCAGGCAGGAAATAACCCTGTTTGCTGGGAGCCAGGCCCAGACAGATTCCGAAACTCGGTGGATATTTCTGCACATCTGGAGTTCTAACTCTAGGGGCCTGAGAGAGCCTTGTGCAAGGCTGCAGCTGTTGGCAGGCCAGTCGCTTTCTCCATGTGGTGGGACAAATGTTTGGGTTTCAGGGACAAACCCAGGCGCCACCTCTGGCTGTGTCTGGTGGGTAAGGGGTGGGGTCCTGGCCCCTGCAGAGGCCTTGGAGGTTTATTTGTACCCCACCCACCCATCCACCCACCCACCCAAGGCAGCTGGGCCACATGTACACACAAATCTGATGCACTGTTGCCTTTGCAGCACCTGCATACAGCAACACAGATGTGTGTGCAGAGCCTCACACAATGCATGCACACACAGTAACAGATAAGCACACATGCACACACACACACACACACACACACACACAGCTCCACACTACACATGCAGCGACACCCATCTGCAGTACTACAGCCTCACCTTGACCCTGACACACTGCCTCTCTCACTCCACACAGGCCACTCCAGTATCTGTCAGCATTCCACTTCCCAGCAGACATAGGGGCATCTGGGCCTTCTGAGGGGCTGGGCCAACTTGTGTGGACTCTCTCCACCTACCCCAGTCCCAAGGCCTTGCTTATTAGGGGGATGTACACAAAGCTCAGAGATAGCATCCCATGTAGGCCAGACCGGGGAGGTGGGGTCTTGGGATTCTCACTAGGCACCATAGCCTCAAGTCCACCTCTCCCAGGACCTGGTGCTGGGAGGGGCAGGGCCTAGGAGGGTGGTGAGCTCACAAGAATGGAGGGCTGAGGTTGCACACAGGAGGCAGACCCTCAGTGGAATAGATACCCCTCAGAGAAATGACCACCCAGGCTTTAGGGGTCCAGCCAAACAGCAGCTTTATTAGTGGTGCTGGGTTTTAGACCTTACAGTGGGCTCTGGTGTCCATAGTGGCCTCTGGGACAACAGTGGGTAGCATTTGTACTGGAAGGATATAAATAAAGCTTTGGTGTACAGGTTTTGGGACGGCATCAGTAACACCACCACATGAACGTCACACAACAATGGCTCTCAGTGGGAGTTGGGGTTCTGGCCAAGGGGGTAATATCTAAAGACTGCACATAAGGCTACTGCTGCAGCCGTGCTGACCCCAGGGTCAGGAGGACGCCTAGGGCTGAGGCTCCGCGTGGCCCTGCCGCTTCGCCTTCATCTGCAGATACCGGCCTTTGCCCTCTTCGAAGCGCTTCTTCTCATCCTCAGTCTCGGGCTGTGGGGCACACAAGAGGGCACGTTAGAGACACCGGAGCTCATGGTGTGGGCCCTGCCCCCATGTCTGCACTGCCCCTGGAGGCTGCCAAAGTTCCCACTCCAGGGACCTGCAGGATGCCAGGCACTGGTCTCCTGCCGCATCCTCCCAAGAGGGCTGTCCGCTAGGCCCTGAGGACACCTGTCTTCTTCCACAAGCTCAGAGTCCTTTGGTGATAGACCTTGTTTAAGAGGGAGGCTGATGTGTGAGCCACGTGGGAGTGAAGGGGAGAGGGACTGCTCCACGCCAGGAAATACCAGCTGTCCAGTCTGTCACAAAGAGAAAGGAGGTAGGGACACTGTGAAGGTGGTAACCTTGAGAAGCCCTCTACCCTACTTCAGGAACAACAGTGCCCACTTAGCAGGGAGAGGACCCGCCACCTGGCCCTGGACCACAAGATGCCCAGGAAGTGGCACCTTGGGCTGGAGGCACTCCTTCCTCTGAGCAATTTCGGCTGTGCCCACATACTTAGTGGGATCTTGCTGTAGGTCTGGTTTTGTTGGGATGGTCCTGATGTATGCCTACTGTCCTGGTTTTGAACCTCTGGGCAGATGTCATGGCAGTGGCACTGGGTGGACACTTCTGAGGTTCCATCTATCTTGCCCTAAGTTCCATTTGGCATTGCCCTGGCTGGGACTAGGTCTAATGAGCTAATTGCCCTGGGATCCCATTTCATTGTGACATTTTAAGGGTGTCTGAAAGCCAAGGAAATGGGGCAGTTGCCCTTCGTCCACGATGACATCAAGTCAGGCAGTTATTTTTAGGCCTACGTGTTTATAGACATGCGGGATATTGGCAAAAGAGAGCCACCAGCCAGAGGGCTTAACGTCAAGTCACGCCAAATATTCCCTTCCTCCAGCCTTCTCCAAAATTGCTCTCTAAATGTCACCAGGTGTAAACTGTCCGGGCTGTGCCAGCAAGGAGCCAACGGGATGTGAGCATATTTAAAGACACACCGTGCTTCCCACAGGGGTTCTGCTTCCTGTTTGATGAGCTTTTTCCAAGACGTGCTACTGAAGAGGTCTCTCCTGCTATTCTGGTTTGATCTCTGGCTGACTTTAAAAAAATAAAAGTCAAGTCAAATCATACAGAGCCATATGATTTGACTTCAAAGTCGAGGGAAAGTGAAAAATCAGTTTCAGAGCAGCTGGGGGGGGGCATGGGGGCAACCCCTGAGCTGCCTAAGGGGCAGGAGGGGGTGGGGCCCAGGATGCTGCTGCAGGCTAACTGGCATAGCTTGGTAGGACACGCCCTATAGGTCGGGGGCGACCCCTGAGCTGCCTAAGGGGCAGGAGGGGGTGGGGCCCAGGATACTGCTGCATGCTAACTGGCAGTTTGGTAGGACACGCCCTATAGGTCAGGGCCACACTCCCATGTGCATATGAATCATGGGGAAGGGGATCTTGGCACAGGGTCTGATCCCCAGGGCCTGGTATTGGGGCTCATTCCTAATAAGCTCCAGGAAACGTGCTGCTGCTGGGTTTGGACTGCACTTTGGAGTTACCTAGAGGGCACAATGCTCCTCCCAGAAGCCATAGCTTGCCAAATAAATGCAGTGCTAGGTATGGGATACCTCCTTTCGAGTTGTTGGTCAGGGGTGTCCCAGAGACCCCCAAAACAATACAGGCTATTGTCACTTATCCTGGCTGCCCACCAGAACTTGATGGTAAGGCCCATACTGCTGCAGATCACACACTTTGGTCCCAGGCCATGGATAAATCAAGCTGGAACTGACCAGGAAGCTTTCTCCCTGCTGGCTAGCTTTCACAGTGCTGGAAGGTGCAGTGTAGGCTGTTGGGAGGGACAAGTCAGCAGCCTTACCTGTCCTGAGAGCTATGAGTTACAATGATGACCAGCATGGCAAGCTATGCCCATGGATGCAATAGTGGCACAAACGTCATGGGGACCAACAACTGCTTTCTGCTTGGATTTAAGGCCCACTCCACGGGAGGAAAACCATGCCTGGCTCGGTAAATCTGACCAAGAACCCAGGACTAGGGAGCTCACAGGTCCCAATGTTGAACCTACTACTATTTTGCTAAATGGACACAGTATGAAACTGTCCTCCAAAAGATGTTCTCTTTACCCACAGATTAGTGAAATTCTCAGCCCTTATCAGAGAACCTTCCTCATGTAGTGGGTGGCGGTTAACACAGACACAACTAGCCCAAGTGCAGAGTAAGTGTCTATGGAGTGACACTCTGCATAAACGGGACGACTGCATCACAAACCTTCCTCCCACAGCTTAGGGAATTTCATGGATGAGGGAGCAGAAAGATTATAAGAGCCAGAGGTTGGGGAGGACTGGGGCAAAGCAGGGTCTCCTGGACACCACGGACCGATGCACTCATGAACTCACAGCAACCAGCCAACATTCTGGCATGGAGGGGGAGGGGCTCCCAAGCACCCACCCCTAGCTGAGGAGCTATTTACAGTTGCTGGCTGGTAGAGGAGAGTCAGTTTTCTTCAGGAGTGTGGTCCCTGGTAGCTCGACTATGTGCCAGTGGATGGTCGCACACCCATGGGTATAAGGGTCATGGGGGTCAAAGGAAAAATAGACAAATTAGGAGAAGGGATAGGTCGTTGGGGGTGGACTGGATCTGGGAGGAGTTCGGCAGGTGAATATGATAAAAAAGCATTGTATGCATCTACGAAATTCTCAACATACGTATGCATATCTCTATGTATCAATTTTAGGAACACAAGCTCATACGTGGCACCAGGCTAGGACAGAGGGGCCTTTTTTCCCTAGGAGAGTTTGCTTGGGGTGACTAAGGAAAATCTGGCACTATTTAAAATAATATTTTTTTACTTTTTGTTTTTTTAAGACAGACTCTCACTATATATCCCCCTTGGCTGGCCTCCAAATCACAGAGATGCGCCTGCTTCTGCCTCCTGAGAAGGATTAAAGGCATGTGCTACCTCTGTGTTTCACTCCTATTTGAACTTTCCTATAGTTAAAAAGGAGTCAACTGGACCAGGAGGAACTGCAGATCTGAGGAGTCAGCTCCTCCCCCTTCTTCAGGTACAGGTGACCTGAATGAGCCCAAGAAGGGCTTAGCTATAGGACAGTGCCAGGGCACAGATGCCCAGTGTGCTCTCCCCATCCTCTCTTCTCTTTTCTCTCCCTCCCTCCCTCCCTCCCTCCCTCCCTTTCTCTCTCTGTACGTACAGGCTGCAGCTCAGGAGTGAATGAAACCCACACACCCTCCTCAGACATGCCAAGAGTACACTCAGGACAACACTTGAAACATTCTGGTCCAGTCCCCAGGTGCGCCGTGGATACAGGCTTCATGCAGGCAGCATGGCCCTCACAGGTGAGGACACAGGGAAGGGGCCTGACTGTAAGGGAGGAGTCCATGTGCACACCAGGAACCAGCGCAAAGGCAAGAGCCTCTGTGATGAGCCAGAAAGCATCACAACCAGAGGGCACTGAAAAAGTGAAGCACAGAGAGCTTGCGTAACTGCCCAAAGTGACAGCAGGTAAGTGGCAGAGCCTCCATCTACTCCAGGACCATGGCTGCCCGCCAGGTCCAAGGACACACCAGCAGGAGATATGTAAGACAATGAATCTCAGGGTCTTTGTGGTAAATGGAAAGGCCTGTCCTCTGAGAGCAGGTCTGGAGTCCTTCTGGGCCCCTGCTGCTTGACTGCCATGGAGGGGACAAGACCAACATGGAGACAGGGCCCTGGTAAAAACACCCTTTCTCTGTGGGTGCCAGTCTGCCTGGGGCCCAGGGTAGGATGTCCTTCTATCTCAAGTCCTCTGCTCTAGCCACATGGCTCCCAACACAGTGGACTGCAGTGAGCAGCTAGTGGGACATATGTGGCCACCAAAGCCCAGGTTTACCTTGACACCACAAATGCGAGGCTTTTTCAAGGTTCCCAGAGACACAGGAAAAGCCAGACCCTGGCCTGTCACTCCCCCCTTGTACATGAAGAACCTTCCAGACAGTAAAGCTTGTGAGAGGTGGAGAGTGGAGGGATGGTCAAGTGCAATCACTGGCATCTGAACCAATGTGCAGGACATGGTGATGCCAGGCTGGGTCCACATCAGGGCAGGGGCAGGAGAGGTGCCAGAGAAGGCTTGGCTCACCTCCCCTTGTCCCTGACCCCATGTCCAGCTGTGACAGAGCTTGCTAGAGCCACTTTCTATCAGACTCGAGGATACCCACCACCACATAGTTTAGACAACAGTGGCTCACAGCCCCAGCAGCCCACAGGCAATTAATCACTCCACGATGTGTGCGTGTCTCACTAGAGTAGCAACGGCAGGACCTGAAGAGGACATGGGCCAAAGTGCAGGAAATTTCAGCAGTCAACCTAGGGCAAAGGGCAAAGATGGGGCCTGGCTCTAGGCCTTGAGGTTGCTCTGATCTGTCCCCCATGTTTAATATCTACAGTGAACTCATCACCAGGATCTGCCCTCGGCCAAAATGAAAGCTGCTTAGTGATGGATGTGCGGGAGGCTGGCCAGGAGAGCACAGCCGAGGCTCTGCAGGAGCACAGAGAAGGTGCCAGCTGATGGTCTCATCACTCTTCTGTCTCTGGGGACTGTGGCATGGATTCAATGTCCTGGGCTTGGAGCTGGAGTCCAAGCAAGCCAAGGAGTCAAATTCTGCCTCACTGCCTCAAACCTCACCACACAACAGCCACCCTTCAAGCTCTGTCATCCCAGGATGATGATGGTCCACCACTCCCCTGCAGGGTCTACCAGGCACAGGCAGGCTGGGACCCTAGGACCCTAGTTTGGTACCCAGAAGAGCATTGCAGAGGGAGGCAGGCAGTTTGCCTGTGGCTCGGGCTGGTGGGATCTCCCATCAAGGGAGTAAAAATGTGGCTGTGTCCCTGCTGGGTCTGGAACTGATGGAAGGAGACAGATGGCTCCCTGTGCATAGCCCCCACCACGACACAGCTGCGGCTTCCTGCAGCCTGACCCCCTTTATGGGCAAAATAAATAAACTTATGGCGCTGCTGGCGCTGTTTCTCACGGAAGCTGGGGAGGGGGGAGAAGGAAAAAGCTTTTCCAGAAGCCCGAGGCTGTCAACAGGGAGAAGGGGGCTGGTGGCCACAGGGGCCCGGGCAGCTCTTGGCTGCTAGAGTACCCACCTGTAGTCATGGGCTGGCCCCCCGCTCCCAGTCTCTGGGGGCTCCCCATGCATATCCCAGAGAGAAAAGGTAAGGCCAAGGGGACTGTGATAGCTTAGGGTGTGGTGACCCTGAAATGGAGGGGCCTACCTGGTAAGACGGATGGAGGGGGCGAGGGCTGTGGCTCTGGGTGCCATGGACCCAGTTGGGAGGACTCAGGTGTGCTGCTTACCTTGCTAGGGCCTGGCTCTCTCACCATGAAACAAGGGCTCTGGGGTGACCCGTGAGGTTCTCCCTGTAGAGCCTAGAGCATGTGACTATGTGCAAGGCTTGCCCCTACACTTAAGTGTTCATGTGTGTTCATATGTGTGTGGGCTCATCCTGCTGCTGGCAGGTGCTCCAAGGATGTGGCCACTGCTGTGTGTCTGCTCACCCAAGGCCTGGAGGAGAGCCCAATGTCTTTGCAGGTCATCTAAGTTGGCTCAGCGGGCACTGAGGACGGCTTGCCCACTCATAGGAACCCAAGGCCAAGGGCCGCACCCCACAGCCACAGTTTAAAAGTATACTGCTAAGCCGGGCGTGGTGGTGCACACCTTTAATCCCAGCACTTGGGAGGCAGAGGCAAGCGGATCTCTGTGAGTTCGAGCCCAGCCTGGTCTCCATTAGCGAATCCAGGCCAGCTGTACCTACAGGGAAACCTTGTCTCAAAAAGATAAAAATAAATAAATAAATAAATAAATAAATAAATAAATCCGCACCCCACAGCCACAGTTTAAAAGTATACTGCTAAGCCGGGCGTGGTGGTGCACACCTTTAATCCCAGCACTTGGGAGGCAGAGGCAAGCGGATCTCTGTGAGTTCGAGCCCAGCCTGGTCTCCATTAGCGAATCCAGGCCAGCTGTACCTACAGGGAAACCTTGTCTCAA